AGTTACTAAAATATCGCAGTTTTCGTATTTCTGGAAATTACCGTTATATGGGAAGTGAGCGTGGTTACTGTCCGATTTCGCCCATTTTCAATACCAACCTACCTTGGATTAACAGAAACCTACACACCACATTTCGTTGAGATATCTAAATTTTTGCTCGAGTTATCGTGTACACGGACGGACGGATAGACGGACAGACGGACGGACAGACAGACATGGCTTAATCGATTTCTCTATTCATTCTGAGCATATATGTATACATTTGTCTATATCTATCTCGATTCGTTTTGGCTGTTACAAACAACCTTTATGTGAACAAAATTAATATACCCTTGTGCACAAGTGCGCTCGGGTATAAAAATATGCCCGTTGCCCACGGGTGACGCCCCTCTGACTTCTCCAAATGCGCACTAATTAAAACCTTTAATCACTCCCATTCTCAAATGAATTTAATAATCTCTATTTTTGAATAAATATTCTAACACCGAGCACTAGTTAAATACACTAACACTTGTGCCAACAAATTTAATTGTACTTATGTATTTATGAATAAATACTCTAATCCCACGTTTCTAATCCCACGTTTCTAATCCCACGTTTCTCCAATTGTCATGTAGACTCCCCACTAATAGTCTACCTCTAACGGCCTACTTGCAGATGGAAACTGGCAGTAGCAGTACCGTCCCGACAGTTGTACCTCGCAGTAGCAGCGGCGTTCCGACACCGGCACTTCGCCACGTGAAAACACCGCAGCCAGAGAGCATGATGGTCGACCAGGTTCCAGAGTCGCAGCCCGAGGACGAGGGAGCGGACTTCCAGCGATGCCGCTTGTGTGCGCGTCATCACGCCCTGCGTGTGTGCCAGGCATTCCGCGCAATGCAGCCAGCGCAACGGTATTTGATCGCCTGTGCACATCACTTCTGCACAAACTGCCTGGCATTATCACACCACAGCAGCGAATGCCTCTCCGTGGGCGTATGCAAGCTTTGCGGCCAGCGCCACCATACCCTGCTTCATCGCAAGTCTGCTCATTCAAAGCTTCCGCCACCGCACTCAGCACCAGCTCCGCGTAGAATCGAAGCCAACCGTTCGCACCGGCGACGCCGCTATAACGTCACGCGTAACGCGAACCAGAAATCTAAGCAACTCCAGCACGCGCGCATCGTCAAGCGCACCGCAAATAAAGTGCGTAACATGGCAGGTAGAGGCAAGGCGACACGGATGCTAGTCAAGGAGGCGATCCGTAAACTAAGGGAGCTAGAGAGCAGCTTATCCGCTTAGCGCGTCTACGGGCGGCAGGATGGTTAAACGAGCGACGCATGCCGTTTAACCGTCGCAACCATGAACTACTTTTAAAACTGAATTGCTTTAGAATTGTTACCTACTTATATATTGTATCTTTTGCCTTGAATTATCTAACGTGTATCTACATACATATTGTATCTTTTGCCTTTGAATTACTTAACTTGTATCTACCTACATACATATTGTATATTTTGTCATTGAATTGCCTAACTTGAAAAAACATTGTAATTAGTGAATACCATGAATTGTAAAATTTGAAGTATTTTATGAATTTGCGTGGTTGGCAACGCGCGTAGGTAAAGCAGCGCGCAGCTGACATTTTAGGTTGACAAAATGTCAACAAAAGAAAAAGTAGATACACACTTATATTTTTCAATCACACAGCCGAGCGGTCATCTCATTGTAAAAGAAATTCGCAAATCGTTGAATATTAATTAAAGACTTGTTTTAAAATCAAAATTCGCAGTTTTTCCTTTGTTCAACTAAAGTGCATTTGAGTTCGCAAATTATATACACAGATTTCGAACAGTGCCACACTCGGTTGTCTTGTTTCGGGAAACCTCCTTTTTATCTGAGTGCCTTTTGCCGGTTCCGCGATAAGTTCGCCACATCGCATCGTACTCCAGGTTCATAGTCATCGTCCCCTGCGCTTCCCGCCACATCTTGCACCAGGAGCGTTTTAACGTCTTCCACCGGGAGACACTACCGCGCAAATCTACATCCGTCGGCGTCCAGTGTGACGAGCCCGCAAAACACCATCCACGCTACGTCCTTGCCGTTGCCATTTACGTCGCCACCACCACCCGGATCTGTATCCGTAACCACCAGCCGTCGTTTCCAACGCCCACTACAAAGCCACCCCCCGGATCTGTACCCACAATAACCAACCGTCGTTTCCAGCGCCCACTGCAAAGCCAGCAGCGCGAGAATTCCCACACGCATCAAGCGTGTGCCTACCGTCAAACAAAAGAGTATTAAGAAATATTAAGTTTGAGCATTTATAACATTAAAGAAGGTTTTCACATGCGTAAAAAGTTATACTCAAATTATTTAATAAGTCAAATGAATTATTAAAGTATGGGTATAAGTCGACATGGGTTAAACATTATTTTTTCTGAACTTTATTTAAGAGAGTTGCCATATGTATTATAAATTAATTTCAACTTGAATTAAGGGAATCAGATATACAATTTAAATATGTATGTCAATCGAAAAAGGTTTGATAAGGTTTTGGGTTTCACATATTTTAAATAGGGTTACCAACTGTTCTAAATTATAATTTAATAAAAGTACGCATAGGAGCGTTGTCACGTATTTAAAAAATCATATTTAACTTAATTCATCTGGCACATGAAATATGTAGTTATCACAATATCAGACGCAAGAGTTTTTTTTTATTTCTTAACAATGTTTAGGAGGGTTGCCAGTTGTTTCAGAAGTCTTAGCTAACTTATGCGCAAATCAAGATGAAGATAACGCGAAGACGAGCACAAACACGAAGAAGAATACTAATACGGGACCTAGGCTAATATAAAAAGTAATACAAATTTCTGCGGTATGAAAGGAAATAAAAATGAATCAAATTAGTGATACATGTCATGGCATGCATCTATTTATAAGCTGGTGGTACATATCAGGGTTGATGCGAATATTCGGATTCGCAATCGCAACCGCGGAGCTTCCGCATTAATTTTAACATTCGCATTCGCTTTCGCATTCGCAATAACACTGGTCGACAGCCAAAATTTACCAGAGACGCCGTTATGAAATTCGTATGTAAAATCACCCCCTGATTCCGAAAATCAAGGTTATTTTTAATTTTATGGTACCGTTTTTGAGATATTTGCAATTTACCGTTTTTGCAAAAAAAAAAAAA